CGGTAAATAAATCCCCAAAATAAATAGCACTAAGTTTTCGACATTGGATGCTGACCATATGTTTTAGTGGACTCATCTAGCTGAAGGCGCTCGGTCAGGCATCCGCACCAGATCACGTGTGGTAACGCCGTGCTCAACATCAACCACAATCGCTAGCCAGATTAGATTAGAGAATTCCGATATATTGGTCACCGCCAAATATACTCTTCCGATCTCCTCGACTCTGTCTTTTGATTTCTCTGGGTGGGAACGAAATATATTAGGTGTTACTGGTAAAAGCGTTGTCAAACACTGAATACCCGTGACATCATCAGTGACTTTTATATTTTTGTATGGAATTAGTGAGCTAATGTTTTTGCTCAAATCAATAAACTGCTTAGCATCGTTACAACAGCCAAACATAAACAAGAGGGGGCAAGTTGATCTATCTGACTTTTTTCCGAGGCGGATGACTTTGCAGTTAACGTTCGGCATACCGCATGCTCTAAGGCAAATGTCTCTTAACTTAGATGGGTGTGTGCGGTCGGGGAGGTTATACACAACTGCATTGAAGGAGGACATTACTCTCTTCGTCACTTCTTCAGCCACAAACTCCAAAATACACTCAGCTTTAGTGAGTTGCTCAAGATTTCTATCTGTATCAAGGCCCCATATATGAGTGAAGGGTGCTAATTGCTCAAGTTTGCCGTTAATTTCGGATAGAGAGTTTTGTAGCTGTCGGATGTCATTACCATATCTATCAGTATTTTGGTGCGTATGAGGTGGACCATTGGACTCTTTAGTTTTTGAAATTTTAGACTTAGGCCTTGGTAGCACATACTGTTTAGTAGACTGTGCTGACTTTTCAATGCACGTAGGTATAGTGTCTTGTATGTCAACCAGTCTTACCGTTGGCATACTGCACGTAAAGATAGAGGGGCTGCGACATGGAGAATCTGGTGACGATAGGGACATTTGTGTACAATGCACATATTTTTCAGTAGTTAAAGGTTCGACATTGTCAAGCACTGAGTCGTCAGTTGTAGGGGTTACAGATTTGGACCTTTTATTTGGCTTAGAAGTTGGTGAAATTCCTCTTTTACTGGAGTTATTGGACATGATATGAATATAAGTGAGCACAGTGCTCGTTAAATTAAATATAATATCTGAGTATTAGTTGTTATTAAGTATTAACCTGGTTAATACTAGGATTAGAGACTGTGAGTATATAATAAATTGCAGACCTATTTACGACTTAAGTCCGCAATAGGTACAATACGAACTGGTAATTGTCCGTCGAATAAAAATAAGTTTTTTCTTATGTTTCGAGGTGAGATGTTCCCGATGTACAGGATAGGATGATAATCACAGTATAATACACCCTACAATAGAGCAAGTCGAAGAATTCCTAAACCACGTGAAAAAAATGTTACCACTTTCAAAGTTGTCTGTATAGATTTTCACACCTCTTTGGTTCTGGTTATTATTAAGTTAACATGAATGTTCGTGAGACTTATCTTAAATAGATGTTTTCATGAGTATAAATTAGACATTCAAGTACTCTGCCGGGATGAAGTGTATTATGAGTTATATTATAAATCAGTGTGACCTCCCCTTAATCCTTCTTTACAACCTGGGTTGCAAGTTCCGAACTCCCAGAAGTGATGAGTAGCTTTTTTTACAGATCGAGTAAATTGCATGTTTCTACTTTTTAAATTCATTTTAAAATGAGAACATAACTTAACAGTCCTTTCTGGATGAAATCCTAATTATGCACTTAAAACAGTTTAAAGTTGTTATGAAGTCCGGCTACATAAAGCCATAGAGAGAAATACCTAGAAGGACACTACTTTGTTGGCTACCGAATCCTAGTGAGAAGAGGTGCCAAGGGTATCGCTTAGGACGATGCCAAATCCCTCCACAGTGGTGAAAACTGAGACATTTGAAAGACTCAAAAAGTTTACTATTAGCATTTTGCATTACCTAGTATCGATAGGAAGGGGATGATAGATGACTTAGCTGTGCACCTTATTCAGTGATTCTTGAAAAGTAAAGATGTCGGCAAGACCCCATATCTTACTGAAATCATCTGAATATAGTAGAGTCTGTGGTTCTTAAGTATAACTTAATCTATCGATGAGCGATAATCATCAACCGACCTTGGAACCAAGCCTTGTGGGACTCCACCTGTTATTGACAAAGCGGAACTATCTTTGAAGATTAATGGTCTGTAGATCACCAAGTACGTGATCCATGTGGATGATTTAGTGCCTACTCCGGTTAGACGAGAAGTACCTGGCCTCCCAGCTCACTTCTAAATCACACATCGTGCTTGATACTTAACATGGATTATCCTTCCATTGTATCCAGATACTATTGGTACTTTGATGACTGTAACACACATAACGTTGTTACAATAACGTAATAGTAATAGTAGGCATTAGAAAAAGTAAATGACCACTGCTGCGTGCACTTGTCTATATGTGCGAACGACTGAGATGTTTTTATTTTCCTTGACTCTGACGGGACTCGATGAACTGTTTGATATGTAGTGACTTGATTGTCGGATGATTTGTCTAGTTCTCAGTAACATTTTGCTGGCCCTACATGTATCTCCCATAATTAACCTAAAGTCAACTTCGTCAGAAACCTAATAGTTCTGGCTAGATTTAGCTTCCGGAAGAGCTCGACGATTAACTCAATCTAGTGCTCTGGAGGGATCTACAAGGCTGATTCGTATTAAGTAGATATGCCTTCCTAGACGGCCGGTAAACTTATACTACAAAGTCTGCCAAGAAGAAAGTCATATGGCAATAAGAAGAGAATAAAGTTATCAGGAAGACGGGGCAGAAGAAATACACCAATAACTCGTTAAATGATCTTGACCATCGAAGAGAGAAGGAATATTAGTCAGAGATCGATAGTTTCTACCTTGTTACCACCATTGTGTGGAAGTATGGCTGTACAATTTTAACAGTTAAACGATAGTCAATTTTTAGCAGGCGAATACTTGAATAGCATATCAAAAGAAAATCAACGTATATTTGTGCATCTTTTTAGTACACTGTTAGGTTCTTTCTGTACCGGTAAATTTATACGGGTTCTGGAGCATCAAGATCTGCTTGGCTTCAAAACCCTCAATGCACAGTTAACTGTGGAAAACACTTAGCTTGCTGTCGACTGGTTGAGATATACCAGATCAGGAGTTATTACATTATAAATTTACGGAGTGAAGAACCTGTATACTATTGAGGTACTTCGGTGTAGTATATTCAGTTCATGTTATCCCCTTCCTTTCACACAGCTATAAAAACCCGAAGACTAGATCAAAGTGGCCTGATAGATTGATCCATCTTATTAGATTTTTAACTCATATTCACTGCGTAATGCCTTGCAAGATAATCATTCTCTCGTGTCGTCGTGGAGTAATCTAAGCTGCCACAAGTATTCTGAGTTTCATAACGCCTAACCAGTAACACCTTTATAATCGAAGTATGCTAAACCAGTCAAGTCAGAAGTCAGAGATGAAGGAGTTCAGAGATATAATTAGAAGGCTATCGGTATGTCGAAGGGATGTTTGATCTAAACTGGCCAGTAGTCGAAAGGGGTGTGTAGCACGGCGTACACACTCGTGATTTGGTGCGGATTCGTGGCCGAGCGCCTTCATCTGGGTGAGTCCAGTGGAGTTAATGCGGTCAGCAATGAATGTCAATTACTTACAGAGCTATGAATCTTTGGGATTTATTCGCTGCTACAAATCATCTGCTCCAAGCTATTAGTTTGGTGCTGATGAGTTTGTTGGCAGGATAATTATCAACGGAGAAAATGTGAAGTGTCTGTTCCGTAACCACTAAAGTTAAGTACGTTATTCGATGGACTGAAGCAAAGTGTACTTCAAAAAATCCCACCATTTCTTGATCCAAACTCAGTTGTGGTCATTCAGCTTAGACAGTTTTTCGATTTTTACTTTAATATCGTTTGGGTTATTCTAGCAGTAATTCTTATGTAAAACGAGTCCAAGTGACAAGTGACAATGACAAAATTAATTTTCCAAGATGGAGATAAGTTTATTATTACAACTTTCTGCATACATAAATCATCTTTAAGCATTTTTATTGCTATTGTTTCGATAAACCGGAGAGGAGCTGAGTCTTTTATTTGTTAATAATTTTGAAGGCTTGTGAAATGTCAGTAGTATGTTCGGTATCAATTAAATGCTGAGATATTGCACTGTCTAAGGCTGTTGTGCCTTTCAGTTTCAAGTTCTTCGGAGCGTTCCCGGAAATACGAACACGCACTCTGTCAGTCTGTGCTTCCACATCTGTATCAGATCCTCCTTGTTCACCAATGATGCTGCCCGACATATGAAAGTTTACACCTCGTCATCAGCCTCTCCATCACCTGTGGCTGAGTTGGTGGTCGCTGTATTGCGTTTCAACATCTCGCCTTTCCTCTAGCCCATCATGATGTCTACTGCGACAGAGGCTGCTACTAATGAATTACAGTATCCTAAACACTCCTAGTTATCATTTAAAAGACTTACCGAAGTTCATTCCGATACAAACCCTATTAATTCTGCTTGAAAAAATAGAGACAGGACATTTTGACATTGATTGTAGGTACGCCTACTAGCTGAGCGCATTAAATACTTCTACTCCACCACAGGCCAAAGTGGTCCAAACAACACCATTTATATCCTTCAAGAGGAGACTTAATACATCGCCAAGAACTCGGAATACTATTTTATACCATTGTGCTAGTTCCTTTGTTAATTTTACTTGTTTCATGTACCTAGGTCTTTACGTGAAGGAATAGGTGATCAATTGCTTCTAAACACCATTTGAATTTGTCCGAAACCTGAAATTTTTTATCAGTAGAAGTGCAATATCATAAGTTCCGGTAGACAGAGTTGATCTGAAGCAAAAGAGTTGACCAGTCTCTAAGTTAATCAAAAAAGTTGTTAATCATGAATAATAGAACATTATTCTGAGTCCTAGAGACCTTGACTTCACCTCAACGCCGGCGCTCGTATTGACTTTAGTCACATGGCTACTAAACTAAAGTAGGCTTCAAACTTTTTAAATAAGTCTCTTATAAAGGTTCAAACTAGCTGATAAATTTCAGCCTTGCTTTAACTCTCAATATCCAATCTTCGTAAGTGAATCGCATTGCATAATTATTGAAATACGCAGCACACTAAGCCAGGTAAAATTTATTGTGGAAGAGATGTTGACGACTCACTGTGTATAAATGTACTCGATGAAAATTCGTTCACTTTGGTCAACAGAATTCGGGTAAACTGTTTGACGTTTTTGCCTTGATTTCAGGATGATGAGGTTATCACATCTTTCGTTGTCGATGAAGCCGGATCGGTAAACACATGTTTAGTTTCTTATTTTGTAGGAGATATTTATTGCTACTAAGAACTTGCTTTTAAAACGTCTTGATAGCCTCTCTCTAAGGCCTACGAAAGTATGGATGGTAAGTAGTTCATTTGGAACTCAGATTTGCTGCCTAGTCTTGTCACCAAAGAATCGTGCAGAAAATGGCGCTTAACAAAACTTCAACACGATTAGCTACCGGTTCAGGAGATATGGTTGTTAGATTATGGCATATTGGTCCAAAGGAAGGCTTCTCAAAAAGCTGTCGACTGCACCAGGGAATGATAACGTATGTGAACTGTTTTAATTTTATACAATTCAAACTACTGTATTGGTACACAGAAATTAAAGCTAAAAAATTTCCAACAATATACGTCCACAGTAGCGGCTCAGCTGGACTATCTGATGGTTGTTAGCCTACTAAAGAGACGATTCAAATAAACATGTATTTCTAGTTTAAATATTTTCATCTGTTAGCAAAGGACTTTTACAATTAATCTGACTTCCTATTTGGTCTAAACTAATCGAACAGTTCTTACATTCTTTCTCATCTCAGACTTTTTAGAGTCCAGTATTCCTATCATATGCGGTAACTGTTATGACATTCTTGACAAATCATAAGTACCTGACATTTTAAAAAGTGGTGGCTTATGGTATATATGTGTCATTTTTTTGCATCATAACTATTTACTATATAGGCATTGGGTACATTATGTTACAGAGTTGTACGCTGCACCATTAAATCGTATCGTCTGATGTGTTTTGATCTTTTGGATAGCCAGCACTGAAAGTCCGAACTCAAAAGGCCATCAAAGTGCAATTCTAATGTTCTCGGACTTGACATAGTAAGTGACAGTACTCTGGATGAATTCTTGTACTGAAGTTAGAATGAAGTAGATATTTATAAACTCGTATTTTGAAGAACTATTATGTTGATGTACTCAAAAATGTGGATTTGATCATTTTTATGCTGGTTGACTTGAATTTTCCAATTTAGCCAAATAAAATGACAGAACATCACTTAGCGATACTATGTTAGGCGTAAAATCACTGACAATTTCAAATGAATGTTTCTCATGCCATATGGTCACGTTTGCTTACACCAGGAAAGTACAACATTAATGACAGAACTGTAATAAAAATAAACGGACTTCGGATATGATTGGCTAAACCGTAATTTACATCTATTCATTCTCTCCACTTGCAAAAACACCATCGATTGTTATGCTTTGCGGTTGTGAAATCCCACCTTTAAATAACACTGTTTGGTTAGGTGGCCTTTGATTTGTTTACTTAATACACTGATAAGATGTTTCTATTTGTATATTGAGATTCCATTTGGTTAGTTTTCTTTCAATGTGCCGTGTGAAGTATAGTATCCCTTAAATGCCATGGTACGGACGAGGGTGGTGAGAGTCTGCTTTCCCTCTGGAAATGCTCTCAAATGGTCATGCGTATACAGCCTGATTCTAAACCGATGGTACATATGGGCTCCAGAATCCTGAAGGGACAAATGACGTATGAACCTATTGTTGGGCAGTAGCTACCATGGGACTGTATCTTGTGACGTTACTCCACTGCCTTGTGGGTTAGAGCTCTAGTTCAAAGGTTCGGGGATCGACTTCCCGAGAAAACTATCTGCTTTTATCTGAACACCAGGAATAATATCAATTTTGTATCTGACAAATATTTTCCACAATATGAAAACGTACTTAGTAGTATGTGGCTGTATTACAGAAGTCGAGATAATATCCTACACTGGTGAAAATTTTAATTTCTTGATTCCTATTTTCGGATCAGTTTCATCAAAGGAAATATCCACGTTTATTATTTTATTTTTGATCCATGAATTCTCTTCTATTATTATGAAGTATTTTATTAAAAATTTCCTGGATTTCGCTCCCATTACAGACTATTGAAATTCCATCCGACATTACCGTACCTTTTCTCATCGTCAGTGGGTGATCACTTTGTAGCTGTGTGGGACACTGAGACTGGAAAACATGTCTCTTCTCTTGAAGGTCATCAAAGCATTGTTACAAGTTTGGACTTCAATGCTGGAAAGAATGAATTAGTTACGTAAGAAACAAAATTTATCTCTATCATGTGTTTTCAGATGTGGGCGCGATAAAGTTCTTATTGTCTGGTCGTTCGTAGACTTCACAAAACAAAAAGTCATACCTACCTTTGAGGTAAGTCATGAAAAGGAATATTTAAACGTGCATTAGTTGATCACTGGGTCCTAACGAATTTTATGTTTGTCTAGTTCTAGTGCTTATCAAACTCGATTAATCAAGTTATGACGTAACCACCAGTCTCAGTGATTCAAGATCCTGTCCACTATGCTTAATATTAGGTGATTGGAGGTTGTTTGGCACGTGCGATGTTCAATGGTGTAGGAGTAGGTTGGAATATAGCTAGGGGCGGCCAGACCAAAACATGGCACAAATCCATGAAGTCACTGACAAGTGAACTGAGCTATGTTGGTAGGTGTAGGCTACCTGGTTGGGGACCGCGAGGTGATAGCAACCGATAGTTAGAGACCCTGAATAACATGGCTCAAAATCGTTTGCAATCGCGCAGGTGCATCCACTCTTTGTGTTGTTCCCAATTCTAATCTTGTGAATTCTTCATGTCCCATTTTTCTCTTTCCAAATTTATTTCACTGTATTGTACTCCTTAAATAACATCTTCAAACCCTAATCTTTTCGATTACTGCTTATACTTTGATTACCTCTACCACTATGGGATTTGAATCGACAATTGTATCTCTGTGCTAATGTGGTATGGCAACTCGAACTGATGTACGTACGTACCAAATTCTACGTTGTTACTGACTGACTGGTTGGCACCAGTTGGCTAGGCGTACCTGTAATCTTGAGTAACTTGATGGCCTACAATTGGTTGATCACTGGGTAACGGTCAATGTCATGTATCTCAGGTCTTTGGTATAGTCATTAGTCTAGGTGACTCAACACTGAGTGCTTCCGACAAATGATTTTAGTCGCTACCCAGCGACCAATCAGTTGTAAATACATGTTAGTCCTACGGGCGGTCAGTCTCGGCCCGGATAGCTCAGGAATAACGACCATGACTGTAAAGCTGGTAACACGGATTCAAATCTACCCAGTCGCATCAGTTGGGGGCAATCACAATTCTATGTTTTTGACCGGTATCTAATTAAAATAATAAAAATTATCTGTGTTTGTAATTGTGTATATCTGTTACTGTGCTTAACAACAGTTTAGTTCAAGTTGTAAAACAGTTGACAAAGGGTTCCCTTTTATATATATATGTACCAGACTGAAAGAACTCAGAAATTAATCAACAATTTCGTCAAATATCCATTAATAATATTCTTTGCCGTGGTATATATGTAGTTTAACTAATCCATAATTCATGTGATAAATATAATACGCACTTACTTTCGGTATGAGAACCGAAATGTTGGTAAACGTTAACCATGATCAGTGTTATAACCAGCTTGAATAAGTTTGTGCTTGTTTTACATATGTAAAAATGTACTCGTGCGACAGTTTAGTGTATCGTTATGAGCGTACGACTAACTTTGATAGGGATAAATATGATTTAGTATTCCTGTATGGTAAAATCAACTTTGCAGGTTTTAAATCGTGAGGAATCTTAGTAGCAAATGTGTTGTAGTTATTCACTGAAAGTATGCAAGATGATAACATTGAGACAAAGCTAATCTGAATTTTTCAAGGTATTTTTATAATCCTAAATATTAATGCAGTGCAGACGCGATAGATTTAGCTAATATTTATGTTGTTTCTTTAAATAACGTTTTTAATCGTGATGCACACCATAGCAATCTTCTCTTTTAATGTTTCGAAGGTCGATATTTTGTTGAGAAGTCTTTAAATAGATTACGGATACCCAAATAATATAGCCTTATCAGTGATATTAGTAGAACGTAGTTTTCTTGGATGAGGTCCACAAGGTAGTTAAAGTCGATGGTTGGAGACCTAGAGAAATACAGCATGAAATCATACACAATGAAGGAACTGCTTTGTTTTTTCATTCTAAAGTTTGAAAAGTTCTGTCACCTTACTTTTCGTATCGATTTGTTTTTTATTTACTCCCTTCCCCATTTATCCTATCTTACTGCTGCGCTGTATTGAAGATTAGCAACCTGAAATTTTACACTTTGTGCCAGGTCCAAATTCAGTACACCTATTTATCAGTTTCCTGAACTAAACTACAGAATTTATAACTATCTGTAATGATCAATTTTATCAACAAAAAAGTATATTTCTGTTTAACTTTTACCCAGTAAACTTTATCTTCTGTTTGATTGGATTAACTTAATTTTGTTAGATGATAAATAACTTACAAAATTCCTAATTACAATTTTCATATTTCTCATTTTTATAGAGCTTAGAAGCTTGTACTTTCCTTCCTGTTGGCGCATTAACAAATCACTTGGGTCACACGTTTTCTGAAAGCAATACTTCTTTATTGTTGACTGGCGGTCAGTGGGGCTGTTTGCGTTGCTGGGATGTAGATACTGGGCGTTGTGTGTTAGAGATCAAGGGTCCCTTAGATCGGACTCCTCAGTCTGATTCTGGTAGTTCCACTGCGTTAGATCGCCACTCAATTGACTATGGACTTCATTCCATCAGTCACTTGAATGTATACAATATAAAAGACAGTAATGATAATGTGTTGGATGAAAGTGAAAACTCATCCTTACGATTAATTCTTGTGCGTCAAAGTAATCATGTTGAATTTTATAACCCAATGGTCGGCAAATTAACGGCTGAGGTATAGTAGTTTTATTTTTAATTTGTTCATCTCATAATTTTTTGAAAATATAAGTTTGTTATTCGTAATGCTTCCGAACAGCAAGTGTAAAAATAGTGTAACATATCTGGTATTATTAATATTATACGCATTAATATAACTCACTTATGATTAGTTGAATGTATGTGGTGATTTGTTTTTGCCTCTTAAAGTGGATTGTTTGTTTTAGTGTTAAAGCTGTATCTTTGAACCACGTTTCATCCAATCCATTTCAAACCACTGGGCATTATCAATGCCTTCATAGATTATAATCTATCTCTCTTGACCAAATACACAAGATAATGTCTCCACTTTCACTCATACATTTCACACAATTGTGAACACTAACTAATCGGATCCCGTAGTCTAGACAGACAATGAAAGGTTTATGAATAACCCATCCAACTTAGAAAATGCAACGCGCACGAAATCCCCATCATAAACTACAAATATTCTCTATATCAAAAAATTATTGCAAATCAGCAGACTACATATATACTAGTACTGTAAAAACTACGGTTATTTCAAGAGTTTTTGGTTTGTTCTAAAACTTTTGGTTTAAGTTTACTAGAAGTCATATTGTCATCGAGATCAGTGCTCTGTATATTATCTATTTCCTAAAGAAAACTTACACACACCCATCACTATTCACAAATTGGGATAAGTAACATGATTGTCACTCTTCTTACTGATTTAGATAGTCAAATCATAACAGGTTTATTGTTTAGTTCGAGTAAGATGGCAGATTAGAATACGTGAAATTGAAAACCTAAAAGGTTATACTATCTCTTTCTGCTCTGAATCGAGTCATCATTCGTTTTCTAAAACCCTTACAAACATATGTACTTACTTACTTTCGCCTGTTACCCATCGTGGAGGAGCGTAGGTCGTCTACTAGCATTCTCCAACGAACTCTGTCCTGGACAATCCTTCCCAGTTTTTTCAAGTTACTATTCATCCTTTTTATTTCTGCTTCCTATTCCCGACGTAATGAGTTTTTTGGTCTCTCCCTTTTCCATTTCACTTCAGGAATCTAAGTTAGGGCTTGCCTCGTGATGCATCTTTTCCTAATTTCCTCTTCGTCTGGAAGTTGGTTTGTTCTCTCCTAAACATAACATGTTTTTATTAGCATGATTAGAATTTTTTTTACACTAAATTATCTTGTTAGGCGTCAGATTACTTTCATTCTTATGCGGTTGTCTACGATTGTTTGGTTTAATAATGTTCGCTTGTTGTTAATAAATACATTCCTTAATTTACCGTGTATATTACTCACAAATCTGATGTCAATTTATATTGTTAATGCCAACCACAACAAATGTTGGATAGGTCAGTTTTTCAAAACGCAAAAGTCCTTCCCAAGATCACTGACTATTGGCTTGAGCTATTTCGCTAGAAGCAGATCAGCTGGTTAGAGTCGCGTGATAAAAATAATCTTGGTGGTTGAAGACGCTGATTGATGTGATTCATCCTCTTTTTTCAAACCATATTCTCAATGTTTAATCTCTCACCATCATTGCTACTACTATTGTAATAGACGAGAACACAGGTGGGGACAGCCAAATTTATTTTAATACAGAATTACAAATTATCTTGGTAAAATATAAGAACCATACACTGAACACTTCATTTGCAGATTTTCACCATTTTACCTTCAAATTCTGTATGATTCTTCAAGTTCACAATTCCTCTCTATTTTACCTTTTATTCTCTTCACCTCGATCTTCTTAGCCTTCTGCTGCCAGGTTTTCCACTTCTGATTTGTGCTACATACTACTTATATCGACATACATAAGTGGCATACACCGTACTATTATTCTAATTCTTTCGCTATCTCGTAATAATTTGATATTAGCAATTTGGGCTAAGCTACTTGTGTGTCAAATCCTACCTTAACTATTCCTGACTGATTGATTTCAAAATTAGTTTGATTTTTTGTAATAGACCTTACAAATCCCTATCGATACAAATAAGAAACCAGAATATCCAATTTCTTAAAGTAGAATTTAAATTTCATTTTAACAGTTCTTAGGTGACATTGGACAAGTTGATCAATTATGCATTGTAGGCAGAAATCACAATTATCTTATTCTAGCTGATGCGTCACCTCACATGAAAATTTTCCTCAATCCATATGGACTCAGTTTAAAGGGAAAAAATACAACTGAAGATAATCTTCATAGTAAAACAAATGGTTCATGGAAATGTCACCTTATTCCCGGTGGTCATACTGATGTGATTATGGATTTGACTGTATCCATATGTGGTCAATGGATTGCAAGTGGTTCTAAAGACCAATCTATTTGCTTATGGCATCTAATAGAATCAGAAGATTCAACATCGTCATCACTACATAAATCTAAGAATGTTCCTGTCAAATTGGATCTTATTACTCAAATTCATAAGGCACATGCTGCTCATATCAGTTCTGTTTGCTTTGATAGGTAAGTCAATAAATCTACAAACAAATCTAATCAGTCTCCTGTTTAAACTGATTGAACTGTTTTTCCGTCAATGATTTGAATGTATTTTGGACATAATAATACTTTTAATTTTTTTGTATAAAAAATCGTCCTGGTATATAATTTGTAAATGATGATGATGTGGATAGCAAATGATAATGGTTAAACTGTATAGAATATCTGAAATACAATCAAATAGCTGTACTTTATACTTCCAGTATGTTTGTTGATTTTTTAAAAGGCATCACGGTTCTCGAGTATTTCAAGTATCTAAGTGTTATGAAGACACATCATTTAAACGGAATCACTGAGTCTAACATAACTACTATATCATGTACTGGTCTGAATGATATCTTTTACTATCTATGGTCAATAAAATTTGTCTTTTGGGAAAAAAATATGAGCGAATATGTATTGTCATATTCTCGTCACATCCTATTACTTATCTTTGAAGACGACGAGAAACCACTACAGTTCTTACAACATACTACACAAAACACTGGTACAAGTGAAGATTTACTCACTTAACGCAAAGATCCTAATCAAATACTTAACAATAGATGATATGCAAGAATATGATGTGGGTGTCTGATATGTGTTCACATGACGTCAGCCGCCAAGTGATCTGAAATCAAAAACAAGACCGTAAGCCAGAAGAATAAGCTTTTTTATGTGACCTGCATTTATTTTCAAAATATCATCAGCAGAAAAATAAACATGAATAAATGCTACAGGAAATTAGCGGAAATTAGTTTGCAGAGCATTCAATCACCAATTAACTAATACCTCACTGTTAGACCTAACTTTTGGATATCGTATCAGTTCCATACAAGTTACACCATTTTTATTCACATCGAGGTATTGTAAATTATCCCCGGAACCTTAAGTGTAAAGAACAATTTAAGCGATTAAAATACAAACTTCACGTGAATTTTATTAATTCTCACTAATTTCCAAGGTTTTCAAAAGTTGTAAAGAGTAAGGAAATCTAAAGACTTGACAAAAGTTGCTGGTAAAAAAGAAAATACATTGGTATAGCATCACCTTATTCGTGTTCAAGTAGTTTTTCATCATGAAAAATGTTTTTGCTTAGCTTATTTGTAAGAAAATGTGCATATTTATATACTCTATGCTTATTTGTATTATACAGATTGACAACACATCTTATATCTAGTTCAGAAGACGGTATTTTAAAAGTTTGGAATGTTCAGTGTAATAACTTAGATAAACCGGATGCTGTGTTATCAGAATTAAACACAATTCATGGAGCTCACAGCGGAGTAATCAATTCAATTGATGTTTCCGTTGATAATCGTCTTGTTGCTACTGCGTCACGTGATAAAACTGTCAAGGTAACTAACAATTCATTGTATTTTCCTTTACACAATGGTCAGGTAACTGAATCTTCGTTCAGTTGTTAATGAAATAATTAATAATATTACATTTCATATTGTTAGTTTTACACGTTCCTATTCATGATGTAGTATTTTGTATCTTTTAACTAATTAATTCGTTCAATGATTTCACTGGTTTTTTTATTTCATGAAATTTTAGATATGGGAATTTAAAAAACAAAGTTTACATTGTCAAGGTGTTCTTCAGGGTCACCGTAGAGGTGTTTGGTCTGTTTGCTTTTCAAAATTTGAGAAAGTAAGATCTATTCACCTTTTTTTATCCTGGTTCTATAAATCTGTTAAAGAAAATGGGTTGCTTATTGACGATTTTCATGTTACTTAATTATTTAACAATTAAACTATGTACCACTGCTTTGATTGGAACTACATAAGTAAGGATCATTTCTTGAGGAAGAAGTAAATGTGGTTTGTAGTTGAGTTTAAGCCAACCACTTGGATGTCTCGTTTCAGATTGTATGCTAGTAGAACTTTAGATCTGACACCTAGGCACCTTCTACATATAAAACTTGATTGATACTAATGTGTTAACTAATGGAATAGATATCATATCAACCAATCAATAATATTTGAGTTCATTTTCAATCCCTACATTAATAATAATCATGTGCTCTCCGGTGGATAGCTTTAAGATGCGATTCCCGTAGGTCGAGTGAGAAGCTGTGACTAGTAGAGCTCAGACATGTCGAGTGTGGGACAGTTATCCACAGTACTTAATTAAAGGTGGTCGCGCAATATCATAAATTGATTGAAGTCAGATATGTACACTATTGAATTTCGGGTCAGTAGTCTATGGCTAAGTGCCCACGTGTAAGACCGAATATCCTGGATCCGATCTCTTGATGGGGTTATGAAAGTCCACTGGCGTGGAGTACTATACTAAGAAGAAACAACTGTCCAGTGTTTCCTAGTATTCAATGGTGGCTTAACTAAGATTAGTATTCTACTGATCTTCTCAAAACCTCATATTGAAGATAATAAATAATGTCAAGCTCACATTCAAGGTGGTGAACGCAAAAAATCAAATCTTAGTATACAAGAGCACAAAATAACTGGTCCAATGTTATAGCCAAACAGATTAAGAAGGTTCCGACCAATAAGGCAACAGTCGATTTATAATTCACCGATAAAATTCCAGAATAGAGAGTAATTCTTAGCTTATTTTTCCTATGTTTAATCCTTATCCTATTTACTCACTATAATCATTTTCTTCTATTGATTACGTGTTTTTATACCATTAAAAATGTGACAACCTATTGAGCGAGTAATATGTTCATAGGGCACTCTGTTTATACATGCATATGTTCGAGTGAAAATTAATGTATGGTAGTGAGGATACAACAGTTTATTCTAGGATACTTGTACCTTTGGCAGAATTAAGAATGATTACAAACTGAAAGTATTCACTTTTTTTACTGTAATTTAGATATGCTTAACTCAAGATTTTTGTGTGTGTGCTTAATAGTTCTTTAATCATTTAACAAAAGAATTTGTTTAACTTGTATACAGATCTAATGGAATTAAGTGAACTTGAATCAAGAATTTGCCGTTCACTGGTATTAGTATTGCTTCTGTAACTACAGAAATAGTCTTATGTTGATAGTCACAGAGAATTTTCATAGGATTGAATTAATAATATTGGGCTTAATTATAGGTAACTTCATGCGATATCTTCAAACAAAATTAATTCAATTTGAAGTTAATACTCTTTTTGTAGTAGAATAACACAAGCTAAAGTAAAAATTTCCTTTCCTTTTGTAATAAACCATAACTTCATGAACAGTTTCATTGTATTTTTTTGATTGAGATCATGAACCGATTGATGTTAGACCATCATTGAAAACCTGGAAGCATTAGACGGCCGTTTCGTCCTATTGTGGGACTCCTCAGCAGTGCGCATCCACGATCTCAGGGCCACTACTGAGGAATTCCACAATAAGATGAAATAGCCATCCAGTGCTTCCAGGTTTTCAGTGGTGGCATAACATCAATCAGTTCATGATCTTAATCAAAAAATTAACGATCTCCACGACCCTATACTGATAGTTTCATTATGTGTTATGAATTGTTTTCCTTTTAATTTATATTTGTCTTTGGTAAAACGAAATATTGTACAATATTTGTCTGACATTATTTTTAAAGATTGCACTTACTGCTTCGGGTGATGGAGATGTAAGATTGTGGAATTTGAAAGATTTCTCGTGTATCCGTGTAAGTTGACTGTTTCCTGTTTAAATGGCTTTTTTATATATTTTAATTTAATTCATTATGTTACTCATGAGTAGCGTCAGGTGAAGCAGACATTCAACTCAGTAATTTATTATCTTGTTAGTGAATCCAATTATATCTGTTGTTGCTGTTGTTGTCAATTGTAAACATGTATTAAATCATTAGTTAGTTCATGTCAAGTAATCCCCCATTCAATGTATTAAAACTGAATTATTGATCAGATAACGAAATCATATATGACCCATTGTAATTGTTGGTACAATGTTTATCAGTTGTGTATTTGAAGTTGGTGTCTAATAAAATCTTCATCCACAGTTTTACCTTCCCATTCAGTAAGTAGCATCAATCTTCTTTTCGTTATATAGCAGTAAGTAACCAGTTATGTCCTCAGTTATAAAAATGGCCATATCATTATTTTGTCAAATTACAACAAGTTGTTTCCCAATATACATCATAATTGCATCTTCTGGTCTCTCAACCATACAATTTGTTCATTGATTGTACTTTGAATTACTCACAGTCATGTACTGATTTTAATTACTAGAATTTGTATTTGATTGTTCGATAAGCAACTGATGAATCTGAATGTTTTTCTAACAGACATTGCACAGCGAATCGATTTATAGTCGGTCAAATCCACTCACTTTTGCTGTCAAGAGCAATTTATCTCATGAAACCTACGTTTAGTATGTTGCGGAAATTTTCCCAACTGCTTTTGTAGATTTGCCCACTATTATCGTTTACCCTTTCACTATATGTCAATCATTCGAATGTATTGAGATACAGTACACAAATGATTAGACTACAATTTTCGTCCTTCGAATACAAAATATTACTTCAAGACATCTACATCACTTCATTGCATGAATTTGTTAGTCGAAATGGTTGATTACTTTGATAACTTCATTTATTTACAAAGTCTCTTATTAGCCTTTGTGTGTTTGTGGTCGAACAAATCTTTATAGCACCACATTGTTACTTACATTAACCTGTTACTCCTAATGAAGCATGGGCCGCCGACCAGCATTCTCCAACACACTGTCCTGCGCATTCCTTTCCAGTTCTATCCAATTTTTGTTCATTCTTCTCACGTCTCTCTCCATTTCTCGGCGTATTGTGTTCTTTGGTCTTCCTCTCCTCCCTTGGCCTTGAGGATTCCATGTGAGGGCTTGCCTTGTGACGCAGTTCGGTGTTTTCCACAATGTGTGTCCTATCCACTTCCAGCACTTCTTCCTAATTTCTTCCTCCACTGGCATCTGGTTTGTTCTCTCCCACAGTAGGTTGTTGCTGATAGTGTTTGACCGACGGATCCGAAGTATTTTGCGTAGACAACTGTTAATAAACACCTGTATCTTGTGGATGATGGCTTTCGTAGTTTTCCAGATTTCCGCCCCATCCAGTAGAACCGTCTTAACATTTGTATTGAAAATCCTGACCTTGGTGTTGGTTGGCAGACAGTTGTTTTGAGTTGCAGATGTTCTTCAATTGTAAATATGCTGCTCTTGCTTTTCCGATCATTGCCTTCACATTCGCATCAGATCCACCATGTTCATCAATGATGCTGCCCAAATATGTAAAGGTTTTTACATCTTCCAAATCTTCTCCGTCAATTGTGATTGGATTGATAGCACCACATCATTGATAGTCTTTTAAATCGTTATCTTTAGATTTTATACAAAATATAGTGATTTACTCTTCCAGTTAATTCATGATTTATATCTTACTTTATCTATATATTTCATTGAATAACTAACTTTATTTTCACCAATTGTTAATTTTAACAACTATTTGTGAAAACAATGAAGTTGCTAACACATACTTATCCATTTTTTTTATTCGGGTGAATTATGGAGATTGGTCTATTAGTATATAGCTAGAAGATAGATTCCTGAAGTTTTAGAACTAGAAGTTGTGATGAGAGGTGTTCATCAAACATATTGTCTTCGTTAATGACAGACGTGCCGTACCACGAATAGACCTAGATTTGAAGTATAGACTATTGGATTTTTACTTAACATTCTAAAGTTGATGTGCTACATGTGAGTCTTAAATTTCCTGGATTCTATTCCTGATAGAGTCATGTATGTGAAATACTGAGTAATTTCACGCTAGAATTGGATATCTGTTCAATAACTTACTTGTTGTTTTCAATAGTTTTCCCACTGCTATCAATTCGTGATTAAAACTGTCTCTTCATTGCTATGTTAATTTCATTAATTTCAGACATTGGAAGGCCATGATCAACCAGTGTATAAGGCAGTTTTTCTTTCTCACGATAAACAAATATTATCATGGTAAGTTAATGGTGGACAAGTTGAAGAAAATAATATTGTTGTCCACATTCTCTATACATATTATAGAAGTTGTAAAATGAGAAAGTAAGTAATGAAGACTAGGAATCGGTCCGTTAATTCTAGCTAATACACTTTGTAACCTAAGGAAATCTCATGTCATACGCTTTGATCATGTTTACACTATTGGATAGATAGATAGACTGGCCGTAAGTGTCCGCTCTTCATCTCAAAATGCTCTCACATGGCCACACATATACAGCCACTGCCAGGGAAGTCCTACTCACTGCCTCCTCATGGTGGGGGTGTTGATTACGAAATTGAGAGGACGAAAAGCGAATGTCCTGTGCTTTAACGGGTTTGATGAGTACGAAGGATCCAGCTAGGGAGTTGGAAAACCCCGATTCTAAACCTATGGTGCACATGGACTCCAGTATCCTGAGGGAACAAAAGGTATATGAACCTATTGTTGGTAACTGGTTACCATGGGACTGAATTTCCTTACGATGCTCCACTACCTTGTGGATTAGACCTTTAGGTCGAAGGTTACGAATATGGCCTTCTAATAAAACCACCTGCTTCGATTTGGACACTCGGACAGTATTCCAGCCGTCACACAAGCCAATAGCCTCATTGTTATTGTGTGGCGTATATGTATTCGGTGCCCCATTGTACCAAATTTCGTGTTCAAATAAATAAGTCAAAAGTGTTCATTTTATCTCATATAAACAAATAAACGTATGTCTTTAAATCATCCATTTTCTCTATCATGTTTTAACGACTGAGTTTTAATTGGTTAATTGCAATCCCATTTTTTGGAATATATTCCATTTGTACTCTATATATATTATTACACGAAATAACACTAACCTCCCTGATACTCTCCTACTCCAAAAGGTAATTTCATTCTAGAAACCAGAGAGGACTGATTTAAAAAAGTACATGATTTATAATCTCGATCAAAACTCAACAATCTCCATTTATTTTAACATATAGATATTGGTACAAGGAGGCACCAAATACATATTCGCCACACAGATCTCATTTGATATGTGTGAGGGCTGTGATACTGCCCGGGTGCACAAACCGAAGCAGGTTGTTTTCTTAGGGGGCCACACCTGAAGCCTTCGACTTGAAGGTCCGACCCACAAGGTAGTGGAGCATCGTAAGGAGATGCAGTCCCGTGGTAGTGACCAACGATTGGTTCATACGCCATTTGTTTCTTCAGGATACTGGAGCCCATGTACACCATTGGTTTAGAATCAGGGTTTTCCAACTCCCCTAGGTGGACTCTCCATGTCCACCAACCCAGTTAAAGCGCTGGACATTCGCTTTTCGTCCCCTCAATTTTGTAAACAACACCCCCGCCACGAGAAGGCAGTGAGTAGGACTTCCCTGGCAGAGGCTATATACGCGTGGCCATGTGAGAGCATTTAGAGAGAGGGAGCGGACTCTCCCCACCCTCGGCCGTACCAGGGTCCTATACTGACGAATACGTATAAATTTATGTACAAAAACCTTGAAATTTGGATAGACATTTGTCGTGTTAAAGTAACGTCTTTACTTGCATGGTAAAAATGAAAGATAGTTTCCATGGGGAGTTTAAAGAGTAAATAAATGAAGATTTAATTTTGTAAGTATAAGTAACATGTTTATCTAATAATTCTCTATACCTTAATGTTTCTAACATGTATCTGTCGAATTTCACAAATGACACTTCTAATATTTATTTCTTTTTTTTCAAATAATGTTTTTAAGCGATCAGAAAGGATTAATAAGATTGTGGAATGTATCCAAACCACCTAAAAATAATCAAGAAAAATCAGAAAATGTTGATAAACCATCCTCTGAAGAAACTTCATCTTTAGTTTATGAAGCACACGATGGAAGAATATGGTCGTTAGCTATTTGCCCAGATGAATCTGGTTTTTTCACTGGTGGTGAAGATGAAACATTGTGTTATTTTGAAGTAAGTGGTTAACATTTATCACTTAACATTTTTTTTTAAAAAAGGTATAGGACTGTAGAGATTGTTGAATTCTTAATTGAGATCATGAACTGATCAATGTTAGACCACTACTGAAAACCTAGAAGTGTTATTCTTTCTGTTAATGCCTCAGTGGAGTAGTGGTTCATTAATTAAGACGTTCAATTCTCAATCTATTTGATTAAAGGTAGGAATCTCCCTTCGCTTACTCCTGTTCTGAAAGTTGGGTAGTATTATATTAGCCTTCATAAATAAAATATGGCTGAAAGCTCAGTACACTAAGCTGTACGTGATAAATGAGCTAAATTAATGAGTTGAAAATATAGGCTGACAATTTATTTAAGCAACTAGCTTTCGGAAGATTATTCAATATTCTATAGATTAAAATGAGTTTGTAAATGTTTTTTTTTCGCTGTTAATGTTAAGGACTGCAATTGATTAGTCTCTATCAGTATATATGCACTGTAGCGGATTGTCTCTATATTGTCACTTAGTTAAAAGTTGCTCGAGTCTCAAATAAGGCGAAACACACTTCTTAGATTTCACTGATAGCTACTATTTATAAGGTTACTAGCACACATATATTTCGGATGGTTTTGAAGAAATGTCGTATACGATAGTATTATCAGCTTTTACACTTCGAGTGTGGTTCATATACAAGTACCTGGTGAGTGGTCTTTTTTCCTTTCGTATTTTTTATACTACTCGTTTACCCAAACCAAAGTAGGAGAAGCGCAGTTCGAACCTGAGGATTAGTGGCTGAAACTCGAACACTTTACCCACTAAGCTACCTCTTCACTTATGAATCTCGAGTTAGATAGAACTTATCCGTACTTACTTGCTATTAAATAAGCTACTCATGTAAATACGTCTATTCTTGTCTGTTTTGCGTATGAAGATTTATTGTTTAGAAATAATGTATTCACTTTTTTTTAAAGGATATTACAGAAATAGTGCTGAATGAAACATCACAACAGCAAGAGGAATATATTCAAACGTAAGTCTATCTGTGTTATAGATATCTAAATATATTTTTGAGAAATTTTACCTACCAGTATTCTCCATCCACTTCTGTTGTGGACAATCCTTCCAAGCTGTTTCCATTTGCTATTAATCCTCTTGATATCTGCTTCCCATTCTCGATCCAATATGTTCCTTGGTCTCCTTCCCTTCTTCTATTCAGGATTCCCAGTCAGTACTTGTCTAGTGATGCAGTTTGATGATGATCCAGTTCCAATATCTTTTCTTAATTTCTTCTTCATCTGGAAGTTGGTTTGTTCTCTCCCACAGTAGTCTGTTGCTGATGGTATCCGACCAACGGACATTGATTATCTCGTGTAGACCATTGTTTATAAATACTTGTACTTTTTAATGATGGTTGTAGTAGGTCTGGAAGTTCCAACTCCGTACAATAGGACTGTCTTGACGTTTGTATTGAAGATTCAGACTTTGGTGTTGGCTTGGAGACAGTTATTTTGAATTCCATATGTCCTTCAACTGTAGGATCACTGCCCTTACTTTGCCAGTCAGCGCCTTTACATCTGTATCGGATTCTCTTTGTTCATCGACACTACTGATCAGCTAGGCGACATTTTCGACCTCTCCTAGATTTCCTTCACCAATTGTGGTCGGGTCGGTATTTTCTGTGTTGTGTTTCGAGACCACGCTTTTCCCCTTGTGTATGTTGAGTCCAACTGCTGTAGAGACTGCTGCTACACTAGGCGTCTTCACCTGCGTTTGTTCATCTGTATGGGACAGAAGAGCTAGGTCATGTGCAAAGTCCGAATCGTTTAGTTGCATTCAAGCTGTCCATTGTGTTCCGTGTTTCCCCTCCTATGTCGAGGTCTTCACAATCCAATAAAACACCATATGAAAGAGAATGGGGGAGAGCAAGCAGCCTAGCCTGGCACCAGTCTTTACTTGGAATGCGTCTGTCAGCTGTTCTCCGTACACGACCTCTGAATATCTGTCGTATGAATTCCGTATGATGTTGACGATCTTCTTACGTACACCATAATGTCGAAGAAGGTTCCATAAGGTTATCCTATCCGCACCGTTAAACGCTTTCTCATAGTCAAGGAAGTTAATATATTCAACTGATCGCTCAACAATGATCCGCAGTGTTACGATTTGATCTGTGTACGACTGATTATTACGGAATCCATACTGTTGGGCGTCCACTAGATTTTTCATCCAGTTCAGCAACACCCTGTCGATAACTGTTAGTACTGTGATGTCTGTGTATTTCTCACACTTGCTGAGATCTTGTTTTTGTGGTATCTTGATGAGGTGTCCTTCTTCCCAGTCTATCGGCCCTTGTTCTTCCTCCCACACTTTTCTGTATAGAACGTGGAGCATGCTTGCAATTACTTCTATGTCTGACTTCAGTGCTTCGGCTGGTATATTGTCAAATCCTTCTGCTTTCCCACTCTTGATTTGTCTGGTGTTCATGTTGATTTGTCCTATGGTTGATGGAGTGAAATCTATAGGAAGGTCTGTGCGTGGTGCTTCTATATCCAGTGGGTTTAGTGGGGCTCGTCTATTAACGTTTCTCAAAGTGTTCTACCCACTTGTTCTTCTGTTCTTGAATCTCAGTGATTGTCTTACCTTTGTTCTTAACTGGTCACTCTGGTTTACTAAAAAGGAAGCTAGTTATACTTACTTACTTACGCCTGTTACTCCTCGTGAAGGAGCATAGGCCGCTCACCAGCATTCTCCATCCAACCCTGTCCCAAGCAATCCTTTCTAGCTCCGTCCAGTTGTAATTCATCGCTTTCATATCTGCTTTTATTATCCGACGCAATGTGTTCTTTGGCCTTCCTCTTTTTCGCTTCCCTTCAGGATTCCAAGTTAGGGCTTGCCTCGTGATGCAGTTCGACGATTTGCGTAATGTATGTCCTATCCATTTCCATCGTCTTTTCCTAATTTCTTCTTCAGCTGGAAGTTGGTTTGTTCTCTCCCACAGAAGGCTGTTGCTGATGGTATCCGGCCAATGGATGTTGAGTATCTTGCGAAGACAGCTATTTATAAATACTTGTACTTTCTTGATTGTGGTTGTTATAGTTCTCCAAGTTTCAGCTCCATACAGTAGAACTGCCTTGACGTTCGTGTTGAAGATTCTGACTTTCATATTGGTTGATAGTCGTTTTGAGTTCCATATGTTCTTCAATTGTAGGAATGCGACCCTTGCTTTGCCGATCCTCGCCTTTACGTCTGCATCGGATCCTCCTTGTTCATCGATGATGCTTCCCAGGTATGTGAAGGATTCTACATCTTCCAGAGTTTCGCCATCAAGAGTGATTGGATTGTTGTTCTCCGCTTTGAATTTGAGGACCTTAGTTTTCCCTTTGTGTATGCTGAGGCCTACTGATGCAGAGACTGCTGCTACACTGGCTGTCTTCATCTGCATCTGTTCGTGTGTACGTGATAGGAGGGCTAGGTCATCTGCGAAGTCCAAATCGTCTAATTTATTCTGAGCTGTTCATTGTATTCCGTGTTTTCCTTCAGATGTTGTGGTCTTCATAATCCAGTCGACCACCAGAAGAAAGAGGAAGGGAGAGAGTAAACAGCCTTGTCTGACTCCGATCGTTACTTGGAATGCATCTGTCAGCTGTCCTCCATGCACTACTTTGCACTGTAGTCCGTCGTATGAGTTCTGGATAATATTGACAATCTTCTCAGGAACTCCGTAGTGTCGAAGAAGTTTCCATAATGTCCTCCTATCTACACTGTCGAATGCCTTTTCATAATCAATGAAGTTGATGTAGTGTAATGCCTCTGTAGTTTTCACATTTGCTCAGATCTCCTTTCTTTGGAATCTTGACGAGGTGTCCCTCTTTCCAGTCCATCGGCACTTGTTCCTCCTCCCAAATCTTTTTGAATAGAATATAAAGCATGCTTGTGGTTACTTCGATGTCTGATTTCAGTGCTTCAACTGGTATGTTGTCGGGTCCTGCTGCTTTCCCGTTCTTGATTTGTCTGACGGCCGCTCTAATTTCTTCCGTCGTTGGTGGATTGACATCTATAGGAAGATCTATGTGTGCTGCTTCGATGTCCGGTGGATTCATTGGAGCCGGCCTATTCAGGAGTTCCTCGAAGTATCCTACCCATCTGTTACGCTGTTGTTGAATTTCAGTGATTGGCTTGCCTTCTTTGTCTTTGACCGGTCTCTCTGGTTTACTGTATTTCCCTGCTAGTTTCTTCGTTGTATTGTGAAGCTGTTTCATATTTCCTTCTCTAGCAGCTTTATCCTCTGTCGTTGCTAGTTCTTTTACGTATTTTTTCTTGTCGGCTCTAATGCTCTTCTTCACTTGCTTGTTTGCTCCTATGTATTCAGCTTGTGCTTTGACTTTCCCTGCTCGTGTTCGGCTGTTGTTTATTGCTGCCTTCTTGTTTTTTCTTCGTTTGATCCTGTTCAGTGTTTCTATAGAGATCCATTCCTTATGATGATGCTTCTTTAGGCCTAGAACCTCTTGACACGTTGAAGTTAATGCTTCTTTGATGCTTTTCCAGTTGTCCTCCATAGTAGTTCCTTCTTCTTTCAGTAGATCTTGTAAGGCTTGGAACCTGTTGTTGAGAGCTATCTTGAATTCATTGAGTTTGTCAGTATCTCGAAGGAAGGCTGTATTGAACCTTTGTATTGCTGTTTGTCCACTTGTCCAGTTCTTTTTTAGCTTCAGATTTAAATTGGCTACAACTAGGTGGTGATCTGAAGCTACGTCAGCACCTCTCCTGGTTCTCACATCTTCCATTGTCCTTCGGAATTTTTTGTTGATGCGAATATGATCTATTTGGTTCTCTGTAGTGTGGTCCGGTGAGATCCATGTAGCCTTGTGTATACGCTTGTGTGGAAATATTGTGCCTCCTATGACCAATTTGTTGAATGCACACAAATTTGCAAATCTTTCTCCATTTTCGTTCCTTTCTCCCAGTCCATGTCGTCCCATAATATCTTCATATCCAGTGTTGTCTATTCCGACTTTGGCATTTAGATCTCCCATCAGAATAGTTAGGTCCTTTCTTGGGCATTTCTCTATGATTGACTGCAGCCGCTCGTAGAACTGATCTTTAATTTCGTCGTTGCTATCATTGGTGGGTGCATAACATTGGATAATATTCATTAAGATCCCCTCCTTCTTTGTTTTGAATGATGCTTTGATGATTGTGGATCCGTGAGATTCCCATCCTACAAGTGCATTTCGTGCTACTTTGGACAGCATAAGAGCGACTCCCTGAGTGTGTGTAGCATTGTCCTCTTCGTGACCGGAGTATAGCAGCATCTCTCCCGTAGCTAGCCTTTTCTGTCCAGCTTGGGTCCAGTGGGTTTCGCTGATTCCCAGTACTGCTAAGTTGTATCTTCTCATTTCCATTGATATTTGACTGGTCTTCCCGGTTTCCCACATTGTTCGAACGTTCCATGTGCCTATAAAAATTTTTGCTCTGGTTGTTAGAAGGGGCATCGGCCTCGTGGCTTCCGAAGGAACTCGGCTTTCACCATGAAGCGTCATAATTCTTCTAAATGAAGACCTTCTAACTCCCAGGGCAGAGTTAAAATGGTTTGGATTATTTTTTCTGGTAAGCGTTTTTTTAGCGAGTTAGTTTTCTACGGGATGGGGACGCTAACCCCATGCCCAACCCTCCTCCTTTACCCGGGCTTGGGACCGGCAGCAACCCTACAAGAGCTACAGGCGGAGTTAAGCTAGTTATAGGATATCCTAAATTAAAATAAATCTCATTTCACAAATATAAAGCGGGACTGGTCATTATTATTTGTTACACATTCAACATTTTTGAAGGTATACTAATGCATTGGTGGTGTCAGTGAGGATATTGAGTACCCCATACATCACCCGATCTTTCATTGAATGTTCAGATAATTTTGTTATTTATGAATTCGTGGTTTTAGTAACAAAGCTGTTCGATTTCCAACTACCAGTTTGTGAGTTTCAGATCCTCCCCAACTACTTTGTTTCGTGCAGTCGGGGGTAGTAACATCAGCATTCACGCATAAAGTATAGCTCAAAGCTGAGCACACAGATCCTTAATTTACAAATGAGTTATATCACCAGGTGTTACTATACGAAGAGCGACCCTTTTTTCACAGTTTCTTGTAGCGGGGTTATGATTATCTGTCTGTATGATTTCTTGACTCACTTTAAAGGTTCGTTCTGGACAGTTAGTGAAGGCATAATAAACCACTGTTGTGAAACCGAATGTTATCCTAGGCAAACATTTTTGGATCACTGAATTATTTGTCTAGAACACAAACTACGTTTCTCAGTATGGGCTCAAAAACTGCTATGAGTTCCACTTATCAACTCTTATTGTATGGTTTTCAGTCTTATTTAGTTCCCATGTTTGCTGGTAACGCCTGATCGACTCAAGTATTCAGAGAATGAAAGCAAAACCAAGTGTCGGAGTGTTTATCATCAAAAGTCGAATAAATCTAACATATTTATAGTTGAATGTAACGTTGACCAAGTAAATAATTTACTTATTTTCCCAGTATCTGCCCGACGCTTTCATTACATTTACCACACGACTGTGAGATATTGTCTAGCCTGCTATGTTATGCTCAACAAAATAACTTAGTTTGTACTATTATTCTAACAACACCTATATCCGTTCCTGCTATAAGCAACCATGCGTTTCGTAGTGGCTTCAACATTTATTAATTTATCGGATAAAGTCTGGTTAGTGCTGAGCTTTAGAATATTTTCCCCGAAGACTGAAATGCTCGTTTTATGGAGCATATTATTGAAATAGTTTCTTTCTGATCAGAAAATATGGGCTTTGGAAATGCTCGAAGTATAGTTTTGTGTTGTATCTCAGGATCTGAGAATCATTTCCAGATATTACTCGACGCACTTTTTGTCTAAGAAGGTAAATCTCGCTGATAATACCTCAATATGAACTAAGCGTTTATGCATCATAGTGTGTATTTTCACTCTGGGATTCGAACTTAGTACCTATTGCTTTAAACACATACGGATTATCCACTGAACTACTGAGTTATTACGATTTTTTTAATTTTATTTTTACGCGATATTGGTTCTATAGACAACAAGAATTGGATAATCTTGTACACAAACAAATGTATGCCGATGCTGTTCATTTGGCTGTCAAATTAGACCAACCCAAACGAACATTAGACATACTACAGGGTAAGATTACGTTTTCTTGAATATTTATAGAAAACAGTTTTCATTGAACAGTTTCCTTCTGAACATTTTTCTCTTGCATCACCCGATAAGCGATTTCTGTTTATTTTCCACCCAATTAATCTTCAATCAATTCGCACTAGATTCTCTTGTGAATATATTTTTGTTTTGCTGGTTTAACATAACAACCTTGTGTTAACGCACAGTCGTACTTTAAAAGAAGGCAATAGGCAGACTGAATCTCTATTTATTTTGGGAAGTTACAAAGCGTTTACATAATACAGATACATAACTTTCAATCATCCATTTACATCTTCTACGCGTTCTGCAATATGAATAGTCTCCAAGTGTTCTGCCTACGCCATGCTTTCGCTCTACTGAAACTCTTCTCTCCGTCTGACGTCTGTTGCAATTTTGACCCCACGTTTCGCTACATACTGCATACTTGTGAGTAGCGTCCACCACAGTACCAGGCTCAACAGTGATTATGTCTAACTCACTGACTGACCTTTTCGTTAATATTTGAATACTCATTGATTAGTGGAATGGTGTGATTGGACAATATCAAATCACTCAGTTAACAGTTCAAACTCTTTTTACTTCAAACATAAAAATAAATAATACGAATATTTGCTACTTGTGTGCCTCCACATATTGTTAAATTAGATCAATTCTATTAAATATAATTTTTGATGTTTTTTGACGCTTAAAAGACCATGTTGAATGGCTTTGACTTCCTGTCTATGATTCAGAAGATGCTTGTAACCAATGATTGGAGACAATGGCTAATAGCCCAAAATTCATCACAATGACACGGTTATATGTTGTGTGAAGGAACGGAACTGGACTATGTATTTCAAAAAATCATGAGGATTGAAGGTCAGGATTTACTGTTTGAACTACCGGTAATCCTCTCGGATCGGACTACGCAGTAGACCGAAGTACAAAAACTATTTCCAGTTGTACAGTAAACATATACGAATATCCTTTGTAAAATATTATAACAGATGAAAATAGTATTACCGTTAACCACGTTGTTAATTTCATAAACTAAAGAGAGTAACCGATTTTTAACAATTCAGCTCAATTTTTCTCTCTAATCAATATTAATAGATCGGAAGAAGTACTGTAAATTGTCGGAATAATTGTAGTTCGAAGTTATTTCGTTTTTTTAGTAATTTCTACTAGGTTAGTGATTAACGACTAGTAACTCGAAATATGATAACTGTTTCTGTTACTATATGTTTGTAGAACTTTTGACTCAAGATAATTTCAAACAGACTTGCAAAGATAATCAAAGTATCAAATATCCAACACAAGCTGCGAACTTATTGTCAGTACTTGATGATTTTGCAAATAAAAGTCACAGTGAAAATCTTAATGATTCACTTAATCTAAGTCAACGACTTTTATCTTATGCTATCAACTGGAATACAAGGACTAGAACATCAATGATAAGTCAGTTTGTATTGAATTGGATTCTAACCCGTTGGAAACCAGAAGAATTACTTGAATGGCCAAATTTTAGTCAAGCGATACAATATCTCCTTCCGTATACAAGTAAGTTCTGTTTTATACCTATTGTAGATTGACTGTACATCATAAAAGATGCTTCATTTATTGTTTGGTTGGATAGCATATACAGATAAACAACAATTCCTGAGATATTGACAGTTAACTATGTAGTAGTATGTTATGTGATTGGTTGTAGTGTCTTTGATTGTAATACCAAGAGGAGAATAAACGTATTCCTGATGTCAATTATACATAGGCTCTTGAACAGTTCTTCGCAGAATGAATAGTGACGATTTTATCATTTTCTATGCAGCTTTTACGGATTCATATTTTTGTCAGTTTTCACCTATGGAAAATATATCAGTCATAATACAAGTCCATAATTTATTAATTCCACCCACGGTTAGACCTTTTTTGAGAAAACTGAAATTTTATTCTTAGTTGAGATCATAAGTCAATTGAAGCTAGACCACCATGGGAAACCTGGAAGCACTGGCGGTCGTTTCGTTATATTACGGGATTCCCCAGCAGTGCGCATTCACGACCCCGCCTCGTGGGGTTCGAATCCAGAACCTATCCATTTCGCGCACGAGCGCTTAACCACTAGTCCACTGAGCTTGGTCTATTGTGAGATAGTAACTCACTGATGACAATAGTGGATGTGTCGCTGAATTTCGTGGGTTAGTTGAAGTTAGACATTAACACCGTTGGATGCCAGCCGGCTCAGTGGTGTTGAGGTTAAGCCCACACATAAATCAAGTGGCTTGTGTGGCTCATAGGGTACATCATTAAACAGATGATCTGTACACGATCTTCTCTCATGCTATCATATTGACAGTGTATAAATTATAAGATAAGTTTCAATTTGGAAATATAGAGACTATATATATACAAAGTATGGAGTTTTGTAAAGAATACGATAGCCGTACACTATGATCCTTATTCAGTCTTGTTATTAATACCATGTAACCCACATACTATTCAACTTTGTTTTTGTATATATGCCTACATACTACTTTATCGTTTTTCAGTAACGTAATAAATTTAATCAAATATTTAGAGCAGTAACTTTCTGTGTTTTTATTTTTTAAACCATAGCTCGCCATTATCAACGTATATGTAGATTGGAAGAACAACTGGCAATTTTAAACTACATTTCTGAGGTGACTGATGAACATTTAATTTCTACTAACACTTTTGATGAACCAATGGAGTTAGACAATGATCAAAATAATGTATCATTTAATTCAACTCAAAATGTCAATACTTCACTTTCTTAGACAAGGTGATTAAATTCTCTTCTTATTCATTATGTATACTATGATATTATACAACTTCACCTATTAACCTTTTTATACAGTTATTTTCAGTTTACTAATAGTATCATGCTATAAATACAATGTACAGTTGTTTTGCATCTGTGAAGGATTTATTCGCAACTACCAGACCGATTTTCTATGAGGTTGCAGATTTATTGACCACATCTCTACTCTCCATTAAATTTTAGAGTAAGGAAATCAATTATATTTTCCCAGCGGGATTGTGGATGTGCATTGTTGAGAAGCTACATACTAGTCCAAAACACCTGCCCAGTCCTTTCTGGTTTTCAGCGGTTGTCTTATTTAGATCATTCGTTGACATGGATTATAAGATATATTGTCCTAGTATAATCTTACTTTATAGATATATTGATGATTGAAATCCTATTACACTCAATATAATTTAAGGTCCGTGTTAGTGTCACTAGTTTGTAAACAAGTGATGTACCAACTAATAAGTCTGTAAATTTTAAGGACTTATATTTTGTAAGTGCAAGTATTCAGCAAATGAAACGTTCGAATATGTCTACCATCATCTGTGTACAGCTGTGTTGGTCAACGGTTAGGATCGTGGATTAGTGATTCAGGTAGGTTGTATATCGTATAACGTGACCGATTTGCGAGGCTTAACCATTTTTTAATCGGTGTGAGTATTCGGATTTCGAATCATGGTAACATTGGTTATAACCTAATGATAATTGTCCTCGTTTTGGTTGTGTTAATGGATATTACTTTCTTTACCGATTCGTTTAGTTCAAAAATCATTATTATCACTCATAAATTGATTACTGAGTGACAACTCCTAGTCATTTGTATGAAGCTATCGGTCAAAGAGTGTATTGTGTGCATTTCATAGTTCACTGTTTTGGGTTGTGTTGTACACCTATTCTTTTAAAGGGGTATTAAAAAAGTATAAGACAAATGCTTAACTGTCAAAGGTATAATAGAAATATACTTATATACGTGACTTTTATCTTTCCATCCGTTCGATATCTACTTACTTTGGATGACTAATATCTGATTGATCTTAATAAAATAGTCTACACATACCAACTCAGCTCATTTAATAGAATCATAATGTTCTTGGACTAAAGTTTTCTTGTTTGGTCATCCTTAATTCTTTCCAGCCCAATTCATAGTAAGCTATGTTTAGACAAGTAATATACCTCGGTCACTCACATGGTGAGACTATAATTTATGGATAACATTTAAGCGATGTTAAAGTGACCTTGAGAATGTCCATCTAAGTAGTAGGACCAAATGAAGGTTATAAGCTATTGTGAGGAACTAGAATTAGGGTTTACTGTTGATAGTTAGGGTTAAGAATTAGATTTTGGCTTTTCATCATTAACTGTCATCAGCTATAAATGTCAAAATAATATTTTGTTGAAATTATGGATAAATTTCGTGCCAAAATCCAAAACTCATTATCTTATATCTGATTGGTTTGTCAATCAATTATAGTGTTGCCAAGGTATGATTAAATACTTGAAATTTACGCATATATATATTCATATAACTCTATCTTCTGATATGTTACTCTTATTGATATTGGTTTTAAAATTTCTTCATTCAGATCAACGATAAATGATGTAAACGTTTAATCAGCACAACACAAATCACTGTATATAAATAAAATCTTTATGAGAGTGTACAATCTCTTTCTCATTTTCTCTGTCCTTGAAACAATTTCCAGATTGTGTATATGTATATCCATTATTCAGTCATATGATAAATCTGTAGTAAAATCTAATAGAAAAAATGAAGTATATACATATTTTATGAAGTAATTGTTCATGTATTTTTGTTATTGTATATTTTATTCTTTGGTTTTTCTTTTGTAAGATGATAATCATGATAATGATGACGATAGTCTCTATGCTCGTCGTTATACTCCATTTAAATTAACAAGTAAATATTAGAAGAAAAGAAAAATAAATTAATTAATTATAAACAGTTGAGATCATGAGTCAATTGATGCTAGACCACCATGGAGAGCCTGGAAGCACTGGACGGCCGTTTCGTCCTAGTATGAGACTCCTCAGCAGTGCTCATCCACAACTCCACAACGGCCGTTCAGTGCTTCCAGGTTTTCCATGGTGGTCTAGCTTCAATTGACTCGTGATCTCAACTGTTTAAAATTACTACAATCTCCACAAAACCCCTTCTGATACTAAATGAATTATCCCTACAGCTTAAAATTTTAAATATGGTTAAATCCTATTGTAGTGAAGAAGAACACGAGTGGGAACAACCGAATGTATTTGAGCACAAAATTACAGAACATCTCACTAAAATCTGGGAACTATATAATAAATAGTTAATTTGCAAAATATCAATTCATCGTCCTAAATTTGACTGTTTCTTTTGCAAATATCAGTCCCATGTCTCAGATTCATGCATATTCATACTAACTGCATTACGTTGCCGTTCTTTCCTTATCGATTTTCTACTGAAATACATTCTATGCCTGACCACCTTGTTATATACTACTTATGTGAATATAAGTAACCCACACCACACTACTAGCAATATTCAAAAGAAGGTGTTTGTAATTTTGCTGGCTTGTAATCTGAACGCTTTAACTACTACATTCTGCAGCCTTCCAAACAGGTAGGAAATTTAAAAGAAGCTATTTCTTTTTCAATGAATAAACTATGTTTACACAATGAAAGTATTTAGAAGATCATAGGCATTTTTAATTATTTTGAAAGTTATGGAATTAAAATGAACTGAGTTCGTCCCAGTAGACCCTCATCAGCTGTTCACAGTATATAACGTTTTAAAATCAAATTAAGAAATGGAAGTTCACTTACTTCAATTCATAGAAATTATGTTAGTCACTTATTATTGGGATTCGAACCCAGACCTATCACTCTCGCGCCAGGCGCTTAACCAACTAGACCACTGAGCCGGCATACAGACGGTGTTAATGTCTAACTTCAACTAATCCACGAAATTGAGCGACGCATCCACCATCTCAAATGTGGCAATGAAACTGGACAAGTTTGATGTGATTAGCAACAAATTAAGAATAGTAATAGCTAAATGGGTTAAAAAGTTTACAACAAACGCAACGGTAGTCCAGTTATTTCGTAATTATACTATATATATATAATAGTTTATAAATTAGTTCCATAGGTTACAATCTTTATCATTCACCTCAGAGCAACCATTTCACATTAATTTTAATCTATAAAATCTGAAGATTTGAGCTACAAGACGTGTTTTTTTAGTTATATGTAATTATGAAGAGCTTAGGGTAATGTGAGAAATTATATAAATAAATAAATATCATACGACACGTTTGACACGTACGAAAAATGTAAATTTGTACCTATTAATAGTAGTTTTTAAGTGTAATTAGAAATGACTTGGAAATTACACTTAGTTTCGTATTTGTAGTTTGATTAAATTTAGTTGTATTACAAAATGTGAAATATAACAATTAGGAATATGTATTTGTTTAATCGACACTGTTATTCTGAGCCTTGCAAGTTATCATTCCAAACTACATATTAGCGCCCTCAATGCTCAAATCCTATGTAAAAATCGGCCAACATAGATTTTAGCTAAGGCTATGGATTGTTGTGATATCAACGTATCCTTTCTCTGCAATTCATACAGGACTCATATTTGGTTATTCATTTAACTTCACCTAGTTAGGTTGAAAGATTGGAATATCTCTTCGTGTATTTGATGTTTTGACCGCTTATTCTTTTTTTTGTCATCACATCGTTTTCTCTACTTATTGTTTTACCGACTGGAACACAAAAGAAGTAGGAAATAGGTTTTACGAGTATCTCTCTGACCTAAACTTTATATTCCTGTTAGGGATGCCGAGGAATATAGCAATAATTATCGTGTTAGGTCTAATGGTGTCCTTGGACGTTAAATGGACATTTCCATTGGTCGATATTCATTTCACCTGTCAAATATTGTACAAATGTTGTTTTCTATTTTATGGTACGTTGTGGTCTCTTTGGTTGGTATATAAATAGAGTATGTCTGAAATATAATGATTCATATCTCAGAGGCTATGACTTGCGTTCTGGACTCAACTGGCTGGGATAAACAGCGGAGCAGGACCAATCGGGTCTCTAGGTCGTCTTTACGTGTCACAGATTCGATCGATAAATACGCTGCGCATCTAAACTGCAGTCCACCCGTTACAACAATTCCCAAACGTCATTGTATCATATGATTGTAGCCCCCAAATAGGTTGGCTAAATCAAAGTAAAGACATGTTTTGTTCCCAGCTCAACGAATAGATGATGATGACCCTCCGTTAAAACATCTGTATATTCCTATCAACCACGGACTCAAAATAATAATGAACAAATCTGGATGATCACATTAATTTAACTAGAAACTCAAAAATTGAATGTTTATAAATCACTTGATTCCTTAAGCGAGAAAGCACATGGTTTTTATTACACCGAACGATACGGTATAAACGTGGTTTTTTTGTTATTCTGATTTCTGTAGTATGTATGCATATATAAGTGTTGACGACATTTCGTTGATCTACTAAACTAGACAGTTATTAATAGATATCATTCAGCATGGTTGTGCGTCATGTATCTGGATACATCGGTGGTTTGTCTAGTTTTGAGTGTTAATCAAATTCTGTCGACCAAGTTTTAATGAGTAATCTGACTTACTTAATATAAAGATAGGCGTTGTTTTGATGGTCACTACTATAATAAAACTGCTAAACTAGGTTCATATAATTTGTCTACTATCCGTATGGTGTGTCTGAAATTTCAAGAGAACTAGTGCTTCGTATGTAGCGTAAACGCGCATCACAAACATATCATCTGCTTACAAGTGACTAGCTTTGAGAAGTTATTCTCAGGGTTCTAGTGAAACGCCATGACCAGTGAGGTTCAACCTTGTCGGAAGTGGCGCAATTACTCACCGAGGATAATGGGAGATGGACACACGATATCATAGATTGGCTGAAGCTAGATATTAACACTGTTGTATGTCGGCACAGTGGCCTAGAGGTTACGTGTTTGTGCACAATACCTAGGGTACTAAATTCCAGCGTCATGTTCGGGATCGTGGTTGCGCACTGCGGTGGAATCTCATGTTAAGGCGACGCAGTTGTGCAGTGCTTTGAGGTTTTCCATGGTGGTATGACATTATTCTGTCTGCGATCTCAATAAAAATATAGACAACTATATTTCAATCAGGACTGAAATACCGATTAATACTTGAGTCCAGGAATAATGATCTGTTGTCCTCAAACACGTTACACAAATGGTCTGTCTACACTGACCGTATTCTATATGCTTGCGTTAAATCACTTTACCTTATTGCTACATAAATTACCAAACCTGTAACCAAATATCTGTATGGATCATTTAATTGATTTAATAATATCTTATATCTCTTTAAATTTCTTTTCACTCCCAATATAATTAGTTCACAGTAAGTAGACCTGCTTAAATTGGCCTAAATATGTAAGAAAAATTGATTAATCTGTCATTCACAATTATTATTATTGACAGAGTATGGGTGGGCTATGAGTTTATCTAAAGGTATTATATTACTCAGCTTGCGATTAAACTATTTTCTAGTTATGAAAATTAATATAACGTTAGATGAAATATATTCTCTCGTTTCTATGATATTTTATTATAATACCATAATCAATCTAGTTACCGAAATTGTGATATTATTAGACTGGATACCCGATCGATATACTATGCGCAAACAGGATCACGTTATACTAAGTACACGATTCACGACCAAATATCGAGAAACAGAGTATAGAATAGACAGTATTTTATTCAACAGCATTTATAAAGTAGTCTAAACTCAGAAGTCTAGAATGGAAATCAATAATAGGAAGGAAATCACAAATCAAACTTACGCCTGTTACTCCTCGTGAAGGAGCATAGGCCAAATACCAGCATTCTCCATCCAACCCTGTCCTGGGCAATACTTTCGAGCTCTTTCCAGTTGTTATTCATCCTTTTCATATCTGATTCTATTTCCTGATGTAATGTGTTCTTTAGCCTTCCTCTTTTCCACTTCCCTTCAGGATTCCAAGTTAGAGCTTGCCTCGTGATGCAGTTTGGTGATTTCAGTAATGTATGTCCTATCCATTTCCATCATCTTTTCCTAATTTCCTCTGTAGTTGGAAGCTGGTTTGTTATCTCACAGAGAAGGCTGTTGCTGATGGTATCCGGTCAATGGATATTGAGTATCTTGCGTAGACAAATATTTAAAGTAAATACTCGTACCTTCTTGATGATGGTTGTATTAGTTGGCCAAGTTTCAGCTCCGTTCAGTAGAACTGTCTTGACGATCGTATTGAAGATTGTGACTTTGATAGTGGTTGACAGTTGTTTTGAGTTCCATATGTTCTTCAATTGTAGGAATGTGGCCGTTGCTTTGCCAATCCTCGCCATTACGTCTGCATCTGATACGTGAAGAATTCTACAATACAATCAAATGACCTTCACGTGCTCTCAGATTTTCAATGGTGGTCTAAGTTAACGTTTGAATGTGTTCCTTGTTTTGTAGATTCTTGCTTTTACGTCTGAATATGATCCTCCTTGTTCATCGATGAGGCTTCCCATGTACGTGAAAGATTCCACATTTTCTCCAGTTGTGATAGCATTGGTGTTATCCGTGTTTTACTTGAGGACTTTGGTTTATCCCTTGTGTATGTTGAGGCCTAGTGATGCAGAGACTATTGCTACACTGACTGTCTTCATCTGCACTTGTTGATGTGCATGGAATGAAAGGACACGGTCATCTGCAAAGTCTAAATCGTCTAATTGGTTATGGGCTGTCCATTGTATGCCGTGTTTTCCCTCAGATGTCGAAATCTTTATAATCCAGTCGACTACCAGAAGGAAGAGGAAGGCAGAGAGTAGACTCCGGTCCTTACTTGGAATGCATCTGT